AATGTAACATACAGTAATATATAATTGTTCTGCTAAGGACAAACGCGGGAATATATTTGTTATATACATAAATATAATATTAAGAACTGGTGCACAAAGAATGCAACTAACAAAATTCAAGGAATTATTTTTTTTTGAATAACACAATAATAAGTTTGAAATGAATGTATTTATTATATATATGTATTCTTTTAAAGTTACAATATTTTTACTCTTTCATACGAATAAACACAGTGTAAAAATTAGACATATAATAATTCCAAAATGTATAATGATTCATGATTATATTTATGGTTGAATATGTTCATTTATTATTATACCATATTACTTATTATTAATTTTTTCATATATTATTGTTTTGGGATACAAATAAAATGTTTTTATTTATACTGCATATATTATTTCGTAATGATCATAAACACTAGGAAAATATGCTATATGATAAAAATATATGAATATATATTATATTGACTAATTTTTTTATATTAATATTTATTATATTATTGTGTTATTACTTGAACATTATAGTAAAATAGTGAGTTTAAGTTCTTGTTACATATTTGTTTCATGTAATCATAAATACTTCGTTATTTATACTGGTTATAAATTATAATAGAATATCATAAATTTTATATACTTTTCTTTTTAATCCTTATATATTTATCATTGCTATTGCTTTTGTTTTCAAAAATTTTAATCCACATTTATTATGAGAAAGATAATATACAATTTATATAAAGCTATGTTTAATCATTTGTAATAATATTTTTAATTAATATAACTATTAGTATAACAGATATTTCTTTTATACACAATGTAAAACATAATATTTTTTAAATTTTATTAAAATCATTAAAAATGTTTATAATAAATTACATATTAATATATAAATAATTTTTGTGCAACAATTCACTTTCTATATATGATTTGTGTATTTAATTATACTTTATTGTCTGATTTAGAATTGCTCACGAAATATAACTTCCATGAATTTTTTTTTTTTTTGAAGTATAAATTATAGTGTTTATAGTATACATATATGAAATATTTGGCTCATAAATAATTATTTTTTTATATTTTACAGGAATATACAAATATTAATTTGTGTTACGTATTTAATAATATACATCTAATTTATTATTTGTAAATAAAGGGAAAAAATTGAGTCATTGTATTAACCGTTGCATTATAATATGCGTGAAAACAACATAATGCCGTTTTTATGTATCTATTATTTTTTCTTTTATTCATAGTTATTAATAATTTTATATGATTTTACTTTGTCAATAATTATGCCATATTAAAGCACAACGAATTGGAATATAATTCCTATATTACATATTTATATCTATTGGAAATGCTTATGGCAGGGGAACATATAGAGCTTTATTTAAAAGTTCTTCAGTTTATAAGAGTACAATTAAATTTATATTGGAAAAAATAGCATACGATAAATAATATAAGCATATCAATTTCTCTTATAAAATATATAAACACTGTGGTTCTGTGTATTGAAAATGTTTTGATAAGAGTAAATTTCATAATTAAATAAAAAATTATAAAAAAAATATCTAGATATCCTTTTATAGACCTTAAATATGGAAGAAATGTGGAGTTATAATTATATGCAAAAGGTATGGAATTAAATAACGATCATAATTCCAGTATATTTCAGCGTTCTCACAATTTTGGTAAATAGGAAAATTTTAAGCATTATATACCTTTGAATATATATTAGAGGATTAGGCAATTCTAAGTCTTATGAATGTTCAAAATTAATAGAATTTAATATGTTCACCTGAAAATTATGAAGTATATATATTATGTATTTTTTATAACGAAATATAATAATATAATCATAACACTTTAATTAGATTAGAATTATCGTTTTAAAAATATATTGTCTTTTTCACAACATTTTGTGTATGCTTTACTTTAAAGAGTATTAAAATTTCATTTTTACTATATTCAGCTTTATTTTATTTATTATTTACTACTCCTTATAATAAAAATTTGAAAGATATTAGTTCATTTTGAAAGAATATCTTATTAATATATCAATTAACATTCAACTGTGTTTGATTATACTGTAAGAAATATTTAGCTTTTATATATTGTTATTAGAGAGAGCAAAATAAATCTCATTCTCGTACAACATTGTATGTTTCTTTTAAACAAATATTTTTTCAAACTATATAATTATTTATATAATTACTCAGAATAATATATTATATTACATATTCTATTTCTGGAAATATTACTTGATAGTTCTGATGGTTGCTATATATTATATTCATTATATATGTATTCTCATTGTTTTCTCTTTCTCATTATTCTACTCCCTAAGTATGATTCACAAATGAGCTAATTTACAATAAAAATATCCATGTATTAAAAATGTAACTTTATTTTGATAAATTATATATTTTATTATAATTATTAGGATTAATAATTTTATAGAACAAATATACATAAACCACATCATAATTAATCTTATACAAAATAATTATAAAAATGGATATTACTATTGTTACAGAAATTGTAGTTATGTTAGGAATGGTTGAGATAAGTGGTTGGAAAGAAGGTGTCAATAGATGCGTATAAACGACATGAGTTATATTTTTCATTTATGTATTATATCGACATTTAAGCTTTTCTGTTACATTACTAAAATCTTTGTTATTGTTATGTTTGCATTCATTCTTGCATTCCATATATTTATTAAAACATTCTTTGGTACTTTTACATTTTTTGGTATCGGATAATTCTTCAACATTCTCCACATTTTCAAGTTTTGTATTCATGTCTTATATATGCATATGTTTTTTGAGTTTATATACTGTAACATTTTACATCCTTCACATGTTCCAAATTTATAAAATTTGTCTCAATTATTTCGAGTGAATATTGGGTTAGTGGGGGATATATGGAACCTTATTATATTCCATAAATTGGCTTCTACATGTTACATAATATTTATATATAGCGCTTTATCATGTACAGCGTTTATATATAATTTTTCGCTTTATAAGTTTTTTTTGAGTATTAAAATTAGAAAGAGAATAACATTTTATCTATTATTTATGAAAATGAATTAAATAGTGTACATTAATTATATAAAGTAGAGAAAAAAAGTACCCTATATATATATTTTATACTGTTACATAATAATGAATTTATATCAGGATAAATTAAAAATAATCCAAGTCCATCCTAACGCTTAACAAATCTACAATAGTACAATTATAATAAAAATTGTTTCAAAATATGCTATAATTAGAAGAATAGAATTTTTTTATGAAGAGCTAAATGAGTGATGAATTAATTATAAAAATTTTTTCCTTGCGAAAAAAACATTCCTTATATGACAAAATAAACAATTTTGAGAATAAATAACAATTCTAAATAAAAAATTCATGTAACGGTGAATCCATTTATTACAAAATTTAACTCAGAAATTAATTATTAATTTTTTTTAAAATTTAAGAATGAATAGCATGAGTGTCATTTAAATACAGAAAAATGTTATGAAATATTTTTATAAATTTTAATTGATCCCTAAAATTTGATTCGCCGTATATTCTGGAGTAAGCACATGAAACATACACATTTTTTTTTAGAAAAAGTTGCAACAAACGTAAGCTGCATTATAAAGGCTTTTTTGGGTTTTATTATGTGTGCAATAAAAAATATTTCATAGATTAACATTTGAATAATTGAATAATAAGCAATTAAAATTTAAATGTAATTTATTCCAAATTAACTGAAGAAAAAATACATGAATTATAATATTGTTGTAAAGATAACTAAATGATATAGATCATTTCTTAAAATATTTTTGAGAAATATATTAATTTGTGAAATAGAGTTTTATATTATTTATATAGTGTAAGTACAAATGAAAATATTTACAATGATAACTTATGTTAGCATATATTTTTGTATTGATGTGTGTACCATTATTTATATCTAGCGCATAATTTATTGTTGATCAATTAAAATATAATTAATGATGATAATGAGGTTTCATAAAATTTAAGAACCTTTTTTATATTTAACATATTAAAGTTTCTTATAAATACATACTTAGTTTTCACTTAGGTGACATTTTTTAATAGTGTATTATTTATATTATTTACATATATATATTTTTAATTATATGCTTTTTTGACGAAAAAGTTAATTAGAAAATTAATATATTACAAATTAGATAGCCTCTATACGTAAAAGAAATTATGAAAAACCACGTGTACGTTTATTTTTTAGTTTTTCTTTAAACATCAATAAGAAAATATAAAAGCAAGATTAAATTTTAAATAAGTTATATAAAACATAAAATCATAAAATATTCAATATATTAATATTAAAAAAAAAGAGAAATAATACTGATTCGAAATATTTTATAGTTTTTCCTATTATCACACATAAAAAAGTTATTAAATATACATCAAAAAAGAAAAAAAAAGAATTGAATAAAACTACCTAGACATATTAGCTAATAATGAGACATATGATTGATATTACAAAGAAATTTTTTATTTTTAACTTCTGTTACCCTTGACTGTATCCTACATCATACACATCATGATTTTTATTTTTACCTTTAGTTTGACCATCTTTTTTTTTTTTTTTTTTTTTCTTAGGCCTTGTTTTCTGTTCTTCATCATTAGTTTGTTCCATTGTAGGTCCCAAATCTGTAAATTCTTGCTTTTTTTTTTTTTTCTTTCTTGGTTCTTGCTCCTGCCCATATAAAAATGGTTTCTGATACTTATTTGGGTGCATACCATCACCTTGAAACATATGTTGTTTCATG